CAGCCCCAAAACACATTCCAAAATATAACCCCCTGAAATAACTCTGAATCGATATTCATTCATAAAAACCGATACTGATAATGAAAATTCTAGTATACTTATGAGACTCGACTCAAATGCACAAAAATTTAATTATGCCGTCCGAAAAAACAAATGTACCTATCTCCCTCACACAGTATAAGAGTGAACTGAAGTGACGTTAGAATGGAGATATTCCTCTCGCGATCCTTCGATTTTGTTCGATAAACTTTTTTGTTCGTTCAATTTTCCAATATGGCCGCTGTAACAACCAAATCGTGAGACAACTATACCTGGTCTCCCCTAAGTTTTCATGGTGAACCAAAATGTTTGCTTTTTCTACATTTACATGAAGTTCTCCAATACAATTTTCGTTTTTACCGATTGTAAGAGGTGAAAATTCCTGAAAAAGGGGGATATAAAACTCTGATTTCCTCAACAAAAAATATTTCAAGATTAATATACGACATTGTATTTGGTTATTTTAAAAGTTTTGTCCTTGCAACATAGGTTTATTGGTCGAAAATCAACACTTTCACTACTGGCAATTTTCAGAAAAAAATGTAAAGAAGAAAAATTGAATTTCTCGGATCATTTCCGTTGAAACATTTCACACTCCAGGAAATAGATGGCCTCCGGTAAAAGCAACCTCCGGTACATAGTCAACTTTGAATTAGAGGGTGGGTCGAACCTGAATCAAAATTTAGGTGCAAATCGGCGATGTGATACAGCGTCGTCGTAATCTACCTGGTCTCGATAATAATTACGGTTAATTACCTAAAAACCGTCAGTTACCAGTACTGCAGAACAGGTAACTGAACGTGATTTTGTGAAAAATGTCGTTGTAAATATAGGGTCTTCCAACAGGGACTTTGGAACTTTGACAATTGATAACGGCCTTCTTCTTGAAGCTACATCTGTCAAATTAGTTATGATTTATTTATTTGAATTGAAGGGGTTATATTTTTAGGAGTGATTAATTTTTGGGAAAGAAAGTTTTTGGCTTTCTACTACTCTATCTTAATACAAAAAAAGATGAGGGAATCTTCCAAAGAAAGGAAGAAGTAATCAATTTGAAAAAGAGTAACTCTATACATGGATGTGTAGATCATGCAAAGAAGTAACTTTCAGACACAAACTGAAAGAATGTCCTCCTGAAACAGCTACTTTCATATAAACATTGAATTACACGAAAGAAAAAAAATATTTCGAAACAAATACTTCTATATGAACACTGAATTATACAGAAGACACTTTCCTCTACTCAGTTTGTATTTCAAACATTCGTTGTGGAATAAAATCAGCTGTCATTCACATGAGTTCTACTGTAAATGAATGGTAACAAATTGCACTTACATAGAACACTGTCATCCTCACTGGTATACATCGATGTTTCGCCGTAAGACACTTGCCCTAATGCTCTTCAGTACCAAATTGGATAACATTATAGAAGGCTCTTCAGTACCAAATTGGATAACATTATAGAAGAGCCTTAGGGCAAGTGTCTTACAGCGAAATATCGATGTATACCAGTGAGGATGACAGTGTTCTATGTAAGTGCAATTTGTTCCCATTCATTTAAAGTAGAACTCATGTGAATGATAGCTGATTTTATTCCACAACGAATGTTTGAAATACAAACTGAGTAGAGAAAAGTATCTTCTGTATAATTCAGTGTTCATATAGAAGTATTTGTTTCGAAATAATTTTTTTCTTTCGTGTAATTCAATGTTTATATGAAAGTAGCTGTTTCAGGAGGACTTTCTTTCAGGTTGTGTCTGAAAGTTACTTCTTTGCATGATCTACACCTTCATGTATAGAGTTACTTATTTTCAAATTGATTATTTCCTTCCTTTCTTTGGAAGATTCCCTCATCTTTTTTTGTATCAAGATGGAGTAGTAGAAATCCAAAAACTTTCTTTCACAATTTATTTATGTTTTGCCGAATGACCATGGACGGATATAACATTCAACAACACGTGCAAATAATAAAATTGTTTTATCAAAATGGGTGTTCTGTTCGGGCAACGTACCGCGCGCATCCCGAAACCGAAAGTGAAACTGTCTGGTGTGGATTTTGACCTAGCGGTATCGTCGGTCTTTGAGAACAACGTTGGCCAGGTCATCACAGTAAACGACGAGCACCATAGGTCGATGATTACAAATTTCTTCTGGCCTGAATTGGATGATCTGGACATCAACGACATGTGGTTTCAACAGGACGGCGCTACGTGCCACACAGATCATTCCACATTGGATATTCTGAAAGAGCGATTTGAGGACATGGCCATCTCACGTGGAGGTGATGTAAACTGCCAACGTAAATAATGCAAAAGGTCAAATTCAGCCTGATTTATGCGTCAGAGTCATGAAAAATTGAAAGTTTCAGATGCGCTTCACAAACAGAAGCCTTGGCAGTCATTTAAACGATGTTATACTCCATCTATACGATGACGGGTTGGATGTCCTTGTTCATCTTTCACTGCCTAAACCACTGTGCATGCTGTTTTCGGCGAGTGCATTGGCTTGGGATGTGGGGGTTGAGCAACCCGGTCATCGGATGCCTGCTTCCACGTAGCCCCGCTGATTACGGGAATGACAGAATCACTTGTGGTTCTGTTATTCCATAACTGAATGGCGTCCCAACGATGGCTTAATCCTAAGGTGTGTGCATCTGTGCCGAGAGGATGGATGACACTGTGCCTATCAGCTGTCTCTACGGAACCTTCGAAATACTGGGCGCCCTCTCGTCGTAGCATCGACTTGTCACGGTAATGCGGGGTTTTGCCGTGATTGACCTTCTTTCCTTAGCTACTCGTGGGACTTTTATGAAGAGTAAACTTAAAAATTCTTCCTGACGCTGAGTCTATAGAGGAGATGGATGTCGAGTTTACGACTCCAACTGACCTTCCTGTAAATTTAGTTCAGGAGCGAGTCTACAGAGAAAATGGATGTCGAGTTCACGACTCCAACTGACCTTCCTGTAAATTTAATCAAGAAGCGAGTCTACAGAGGAGATGGATGACGAGTTTACGACTCCAACTGACCTCCCTGTAAATTTAGTTCAGGAGCGAGTCTCCAGAGGAGATGGATGTCGAGTTTACGACTCCAACGGACCTCCCTGTAAATTTAGTTCAGGAGCGAGTCTCCAGAGGAGATGGATGTCGAGTTTACGACTCCAACGGACCTCCCTGTAAATTTAGTTCAGGAGCTAGTCTTCAGAGGAGATGGATGTCGAGTTTACGACTCCAACTAACCTCCTTGTAAATTTAGTTCAGGAGCGAGAGCTGCGGCGTACGCAGAATCTGTCTCAGATGAAGGAACTAACCCCCCATGAGCAGGTTAGCAAACATCTGCGCTCAAGTGAGGTTTCACCAAAACAAGAGGCGAAAAAGTCCTGCACGGCTGAATCTAAGGCATCGTCAGGTGCAAAAACCCTCATATGGGAAGGTTGTCGTGGGTATCAAGGAGGGAATCTTGAAACTTGACTATCTGATCACCTCATTAACAGAGCATATAATTTGTGCCTGTCTCGCTGGGGACCGAATCAGGTCTTTAGAGTTCGGTAGAGCCGTACTCTTACCATCTGACCTGAAAGACTACTCACCATACAAACTAATCGGCTTCGTTGAGAAGCTGGGTTTGTTTGGCCGAGTGAGAATAGGTGTGAGCCACAATAAACCCTTGCGGGTTGCGGTGGAGGGTCGAATAGACCTACTCACTTTGGACCTTACCTATACTCTAGACATAATGGCACAGGTCTTTCAAACGAATAAAAAATTTCGATGATATCTCACACACACTTCGTTTTATTTGAATTTGAAGATAAAAAAGCGCTTATTGAAAGACTTCATATTATAAATTAAAGCACTATTGCAAAGAAAAATGAAATTCTTCTACAATGATTCACAAATTGAGCTCCTCCATTTACGATTTCAAAAGTAACTTGCTGTTCAAAATGAACAGGAATCGATCTATGTCAAATTGGACTATTAATCTATTCCAGAAATAAACGATTCCAAATTTTTGGGGGTCACAGTTGATAGCAGTATCAGATGGGACACACACGTGAATAAACTGAACTCAAGGCTCTGTTCTGTAGCAGCAGTGATTCGAGCAACAAGGGACCAAGTCTCGTTGAACAGCATGAAGGTATATTATTACTATGCACATGTTCAATCTATTATTCAATATGACATTATATTTTGGGGCACATCTACTATGGCGAACAAAATATTCAGAACTGTTAAAATGTTAAATGTTAAAATTACCTTATGGGTCAACATGTAGACCATACTTCAAAGAACTTGCTATATTAACCTTGTACTTTCTTCAATTAGTAACTTTTGCAAAAAAACACTACCACATCTTTACAAGAAACTGTGATCAGTATTCCTATCGAATGGCAATAAATACTAGAGGAAGAACCGACCTAAGTATACCAAAACACACATCATTTTACGAGAAGGGACCCCACTATGAAGCCATTAAGGCATATCAGTCGCTCCCAACTGAAATAAAAAAATACTCAGTACCTGAGAAAATTCAGACTCCTAACAATAGAGTAAAGAAAAAAATTATTACAGTTTCAACAGTTGGTAATGGGTCTTGATGTTGTTGTCTCATACATCTTCAAACTACAATAATTATTAGTAGATGTATTTATGCGTACTTGTATTTACTTTATTTAGTCAATGGATTGTATTGTAATCTTTGTCACTGTACATACATTTTAATGCATTGTTCAATAACCCCTGACGGGCTATGTCTTCAGTTGATTTTATGGCAATAAAGAATATTATTATTATTATTAACATCCACCCCTCGTAGTGCGTTGAACCGCGAGGTATTAAAAATCTTCTATCAGACCTTTCATATTTACTGAAAGAAAGGAATTGAGGTTTGAAAGTTTTTCAAATAACACCCTGCATGAGATAATAATCATTAAGCTTAGTTAATAACATGGTCAGTAGGTTTCTCACCTTTAGTTTTTTTATCCGTGTTATGTTCTCTTTCAGCATCAATTTCGTTAATTGTATGATTTGCATATTCGTTATCTAGTTCTTCAGCTACTTCCTCAATGGGTACCATGAAGAATTTTTTTAAGACACCTTTACCTCCGTCGGTATTTTTAACTTCACCGCCATCAATTGTAGTGTCCTCTTCAGCACGATCACTTTTATCTACATCGTTATCCATTTCCTTGATTATAGAATACGATCGTTTTCCAGTTATAATAATGCAATTGTATTCCATTTAGGAAGCAAACACATGATTGTCCATATTTCATTTGAGAATGAAATCAAGCTGTAAGTAGATGTTTAGAAAAGATGAAATATTTTTCATCAACTATAAATTGTTTTCGTTCGGAGAATTTCACAATTTACAGAAATAGTTCCTGGTTAATTTTTTGAAAGTGGTAAAGTATTTTCCAGAGAAGTATGTTTTAATTGAAACCATTACGCAGGAACAACAAACTGCAAGAAAATACGTTATTTGAATTTTGTTATTAGAAGCATTCAAAAGGATATACATATGTTCATGAAATAGTAATAAAATAAATAATTTTGCAATATAAAGTACTCAATTAGTGATGTAGAGATCAAAAAATTCTCAAAATTTTGACAAAACCTAACAAACATCCTCCAAAATATAAGAATCGAAGAAATGTAAGGAATTTATTAGTTATCTTCTATCGAAATTTTCGTAGACATTATTCGACTGTAAGATACTGCTTCGTTTATACGAGGGATTCATTCTACAGCGGCTCATATTTTCGAATAAGTTTAATCTCTAATCAAGAAAAGCGAATGGCACAAAGGATAAAATTCTATCGAAATAGATGATGTTGTTTTTACTAGTGAATCTAGGACAGTGAACTTAAGATAAATAAAAGCAAATAAGTTCACAATCAGATAATTAGGGATGAACTGCTTGCCAATCCCAACGGGAACCAGATCCTTCTGGTGGGTGGCTAGAGCTGTTAATCAGAACTTTACAAAATCCATAATTCCACCATTAGCACAAGCGGATGGTTCAATTGCAACAACACCCATAGAAAAAGCAAATCTGCTAGCTGAACAATTTGCGTTTCTCTCCACAGTCGATTTTCTGGAAATGGCACCACCCACTATTTCCACACTACAATCCACAATGCCGGAAATTACTTTTCGACAGCGTCTAGTCAGGCGAATTTTGAAACAGCTCGAAATTAACAAGGCGTCTGGCCCTGATGAAGTGCCCGTCATCGTACTTAAAAAGTGCACAAATGAACTCGCACGAGTATTTTGCAGATTTTTCAACCTGTCTTTTAAAAAAAGGGTTTTCCTTCTTGTTGCACGAGAAAAATCTTCCAAATAACTATAGACCAGTCGCTTTGCTATCAGTGATATCAAAAATCATAAAGTCGTAAACCACCACATCCTAAAATATTTAGAAGACTTCAACATCTTGAGCGATCATCAATATAGCTTTCGGAAACAAAGATCAACAGGCGACCTTCTATCGTATGCCACTCATATTTGGGATAACGCAATCTAGAAACACGAAGAGTCAAGAGTTCTTACGCTTGATATTTCTAAGGCCTTTGACCATGTGTGACATGAGGGTTTGCTGGCCAAACTTCGATGCTATGGCTTATCGAATCATTTTTCTGTATGGCTTTTCAGCTTCCTGAAAGAACGTTCCCTGCAAGTGGCCATCGATGGATATCGACGATCGAAATAAAGTTAGTGAAGTTTCTTTATTTAAGTGCTGTCACAAAAAATATATCATCGCTACTCAATCAGAAAGTCATTGATTTCATAGATTTTATACTTCCGAAAAATTTTCAGTAATAACATTGAACATGTTTTCGTTCCCTCTTTCCTCTCCTTCCTCTTATTTCTCTCTCCTTTTTTCTTTGTTTTTTCTGTAGTTTAGTTTGTTTTTCTTCAAGGCTAGAACTAAGATCAACAGAAACTTTCCGGTATATGTTGTTTCTAGCCTCATTTGTAGTTTGTTTTCATTTTTATAGATTGAATATTTATTTGTAACTAGGCATCATTAGAAATGGCCTTTGACGGAATGGTTACTCCAAAGTGATGGTGGAACAGACTTTGGCTAGAAGACAGCAAGAGTCTCACAAGGAAGAGAAGCCGCCACAACCAGTACTTGTACTTCCCTACATTAGAGGATTGTTGGAAAGGATAGGAAGTATCATAACATCAGAACCAGCAAATCAGGAATAGCAGAGCATGTTCAAACCAGTCATGAAGAAGTACTCCATCGTGTAGTATGTTGGTTTGGAAACATTTTAATTTTTATTTCATTGTTCAACTTTTAATTTATTGTTTACTTATATTTTATTGTATTTATTTGTCAATGCATACTAAGAAGTTGCTGGATTCCATCCAGAAAAGATCCATCTGCATGATTGGAGGCGCGAACATTACGTGCAACCTTGATAGCCTGGAACAGTGAAGAAAGGTTGGAGATTTGCGACGGATTGTGGATGATCAGTACACCTCGAACTCAATTGTTCAAGAACTCTTCCATCAGAACTGCGTGTATGGGGGAAAACTTCCTGAGAACGTTATTCCAGAGATTCAAATCCAATGTGAAAGGCTATTTTCGCACATACACCGCTTTGAGAGCGCATTAAGGATTTTCCTGTAGTGCTTATGTTTTGTTATTAAATAAAACTAACACACCTCGGAACTGTTGGGTCAAGAAATGTGGTTTATCTTCAACCAAGAAAGAAGGGAAAATTAATTTGGATTTTGACCGGCAAAAAATTATTTTCCTAAGACCAGTCTCCAGGTTTTGTGTGTTGCCAGTAGAATACTAGAACCAGGAGACGAATAATTGTTGATAGAAGAGTTGAGAGTACTGAGGAGAAGAATTCTAGAGTTTATTTCACTCAGTCAATTTGATTTTTCAATACTATGTGCATGAATGTTTCTATAGTTTTGGTGTCATAAATATGTCAGCTTTGACGCTGTTTGGAAAAAACGAATATTATTACACAATTTTGCCAGACTAAAAAGTTTGATTTAGTTCTTCAAGACTAGATATTTCTAGGTGAAGTCATATCAATGCGCATGCAAAGTATGCAGTCTGAAACAAGGATAGTTGTTACAGACGATTGAATTGTTATGTAAGAGTTGATCGTAGGCATCAGTTCAACATTGTTGAATCTATAAAACTTTCCAAAATATTACCAAATAGAACAGTAACTTTGAATAATTTCTTTTTATTTTTTTTGTTGACCTTCAATAGATGGTCGATTAATTATAATTGGCTTAATGATCAATGTCTGCCTATTAAGATATTATCTAGTAGTTGTATGTTCAACTGACTTAAATTACAACTGACTTAAGTTACACAAAAATGTAGCTATTTCGTTAGGAAAAAATTGACGTTATGAAACGGGGCTTATAGAATAATGGGTATATAATATCCCAATGGAAACTTCACTGCATTTGGTGTGCCAAATTAGGCAAATGTATGATATGATTTTTTTCATGGACAAAACACAAGCACTACAAGAAAATTCATAAGGCGCTCTCAGAGCGGTGCGTGTTCGAAAGTAGCGATTCACATTGGATTTGAATCGCTGGAGATTAAATCCATTTGGAAAAACGTTCTCAGGAAGTTTATCCCACATGAAGGCAGTTCTCCAGATGAAAGAGTCGAGGTGTACGAACCTCAAAACGATGTCTGTCTGTCGCGTATTTCTGATATGTACCGCTCTTGGTGGAATCAAATATGCCAAGTCACTTGAACACCTCCCGTGGAAGTATCTATAGGAGAGAGACAAATCTCCAACCGTTCTTCGACGTTCCAGGCTTTCTGAGCTTCATGAAGCATCAAAAGTTTCCGAGGTGTGTATAGTTTTCTGGTTCGGAACAGTGTTCCAAGCTTTTGAGAAGCAGCCTTTGCAATTCCAGTGACATGATTGTGCCGAGATCATATTGCTGTCCATTATAAGCCCCAACAAACTTATCGAAGCAGAAAGCGGAATCAATTGTCTGACCTGACATCATTATATCCGGTTCAGAGACAGTTATCTTTTTGTCTGGGTTCTTGTGGCATTGAAGTGAAACTGGTTACTTCCACCCCAATTCAAAATCACTTCTAGATCCTTATTGAGATATGCAACCTCTTGCTGCCGGTGAAGATGTGTCTCCGAAGCCGATGTTTTGGAATTCAAATGGAATGACGAGACAAGTGTGCTGTCGTTAGCAAAGCAATATATTGGATTCTTGTTTTTTTTTCAATAAATCGTTGATATACAATAAAAAAGGGGTTGAAGATAATATGAATCCTTGCGGAACACCAGCGTTGATGGTGAAAGTATTCGAGAGATATCCATTGACTGTCACTTGCAGGAAACTTTATTTCAGGAAGCTGAAGAGTCATACACAAAAATGATCCGACAAGCAATATCATCGAAGTTTGGCCCGGAAACCCCCTATGCCACACACGGTCAAAGGCCTTAGAAACCTCAAGCGCAACAGCCCTTGACTGTCCATGTTTCTCGATAACGTAAGTCCAAATATGGGGAAGGTCGCCTGTTGATCTTTGTTTCCACAAGCCATATTGATGATCGCTCTCAAGTTGTTGAAGCCTTCCAAATATTTGTAGAAGTACCTACTATTAACTAACTATGAATTTTTGTAATATTTTTTAATAATCAGCTCACATTAATGAGATATGGAATTTGAAAGACACTAAAAAGTATATATTTTGATTTTCATAACCCAGATGACACGTTGCTGAGTTTTACTCCTGAATTAAAGCTGGTATACGAAATATATTATTATATATTAATTATTGATTTTATATTCAAAACAAACACTTTCCCAATCACCTTTCTCGTCGCAAGATTCACCAACCGTGTTAGCTGTTTTCTCCATCTCCCGAAGATGTCAACATGGCTGGTTAAACGCGCATCGAGAAGAGTATTGAATTTCTAGTGATTGGAAAAAGTCCTTTTTTGGGTTATTCTAGGCCAGATGTTACAGATTTACTATTTAATAATTTTATAGTTTCAAATATTATTTGAAATCTGTAATTTGAGTAAAATCCATGTTTACCATCAGTGGTTCGGTAAAATCTTATGTCAGGAATCGATGGAGAGTCAAAGAAAAATGAAGAGGTGGAGTAAAAGCAAGGAAGGACAAGAAAATTTCAATGGATAATACTATTTTCCTTCGAAATAACTATTCCAAGACACAATCACTAAGCACAAATAACCACAACCGGTAAACCCGACATCGACAGTAGGAAACGGGGTAACGATAACAGTATAAGTGCGATTAAAATTGTCTTTGGCGCTTGTGTTTCGTTTCATACAATTATTAGTATAGCACTATAGCAGATAAGGTATCAAAATCGAACATGAACAGTTATATATTTCTGGTATGATAAGACATACGTATACTTTTAGTAGGCTGGTTAAAAATATGTATATATTCATGTA